TTTAATATTCATCAGAATTTCCATGGAAACTTGTTGCATATTGATTCAATCTAAGATGAAATTTTAATTGAACTTAATTATAGTATTTTTTTTGTCCTAACTCTCCCATGTGCTCCCCCACAACATAAGAACTGGGTCAGACCAAAGGTCCATCTAGCCCAGTATCCTGTCTACCAACAGTGGCTAATGCCAGGTGCCCCAGAGGGAGTGAACCTTAACAGGTAATGATCAAGTGATCTCTCTCCTGCCATCCAACTCCACCCTCTGACAGAGTCTAGGGACACCATTCCTAGGGACTCCCTGGCAAAGTTTTTAATGTTTTAAGTAGTCTGTTACATTTATGCTTATATGGATTTGATTTATATATTTTGTAGGCATTCAGCTTTTAGAATATATCTAAACATTGTTTTTCAGTTTTCATATTTTTTATATATATGTGTAACTGGCTATTTTTTTGTGTTTTATAGTTATGTTACTATCGTTAGACTATAGTTATATATTTTATATAACTAAAACAAAACAAAAACTCGGTTACTAATATAGGAAAGAGTGGCTCTCAGTTGAGATTCATTACAAATTCAGAAATAGTACAGTATACTCCCATTTACCTGAAACTCTATTATTTGAACATTCACATTAGCTGCAGAGGGCATGTATCTCATGCTGGAAGACAAGAAAGGGATTTGGATAATTCAGAGATTCAGATAAAAAAAGCAGAGACCCCTGGCCAGGACTGTGAGGCGTGAGAGGATGACAAGCCCCCTGCTGTGGGGGAGGCCTCCTGTTGCTGAATGGCTCCTTTGGCAGCGCAGGGAGTCCTCTGCAGCCCTGCCATCATGGGAATGAGTGAACAGGGCCATGGCAGTGGAGCTACAGAGGGCTCCCTGTGCTGGCAGGGATGGGTTTCAGCACCCCTGCGCCAGCGGAGAGAACCCTCTGCAGCTCCGGTCATGGGAGCAAGTGAGTGGGGCAGAGCAGAGACGCAGACCAAGACTTGGAGGAGGAGCCCTGGCAACAGGGGAGGCCATCCCACTGATGAATGGCTCCTTCCCTCTCCATTATCCGAACTCCCAGTTATGTGAAAATAATCAGTTGTATATTGTATTAATTTTTTTAATTGAATGTGAAATATATTTGACAGCAAATGAGTACACAGTTATCTACAAGTACAACTGATGTAGTTTTAACTTTGGCAGGACCGTTGCACATTTAGAAATGTTATCTTAAACTTGCCCCGTCTGAGGTCATGTCTACGCTACAAACTGTGCTCAATGGAAGTTAATTTGATGTACAGCTGCCCAAATTTGTATATTGGTCAAAGGCATGTGTGCTTGGCTGCTTTTGTTGTTGCTGCATCCACTCACCAGGAATGCTTGCGTTGCTGCAAAGTGTGGTGCACCACGAGTAGGTGTCTGTGTGCCACACATCACTGTCCAGCTCAGTGCCTTTTGGGAAACTTTTTTGCAATGTGTCATGGGACAAAAATGATTCTCACAGGGATCTCTGGGAGGTAGGGTCAAGTCCCCAGCTTGGAACTTTCTCAGAATGCCATGTATATAACATAATTTTTGTGCCTTTTTTTAAATCTCTCAAACCCATATGACACTTCTTGGTGTCTGGCATCTCTGACAAGGCTACTTTTCTGTAGTTGTGCAAGCATTGGGGGCTCATCGGGGACACTTCACCAATGTCAATGTGGGCTGGTCAGAGCAGCTTATGTATGTAAACACAATGCTCTGCATAGCCCCTTCATCCCCACCGAACTCAACAGGGGAATGAAAAGCAGATGCCAACTTCACTTCTGTTTGTTGTACCTGTACCTTTTCTCGTATGAGTAAACAATGACGAATTGTTACTTTTGTCTCGTGAACTTGGGAATGGACTGGGTGCAATCTTTAAATTTAAATATTGTAAGGAAAAATGCATGTACACACTTACCTGAGTTCACTTCCCCTTTATCAGGCTTATCTGCGTTCACCTGGTGGGACTGACTAGACTCTGGCAGAGTCTCAAATGGGTCCTGGCTTGCGGTATGGCTGGAGTCCCCTGACATGTCGTCTTGCTCCTCCTTCTCACTTTCACAGTGGGGGTCTCTGCCTCGGTCTGTGCCAAGTATGGCATGCTGTTCATTGTAAAAGTGGTAGGTCTGCAGGGCAGCACCAGATCTGTGGTGGGCCTTGTGGTTCCCTGGTGAATTTCACTTTCATACAGCACTCCTGCTGATCCCTGTCGTACCCTTTATCCTGCATCCCCTGCACAATATTCTTGTAGTTGTCCATGTTTCTATGACTGGTCTGTAGCTGTGCTTGGACAGCGTCGTCTTTGCACAGGCCCTGGAGATCCAGTACTACTTGTCTACTGCAGGTAGGAGCGCATCTAGTAGATGGAGCCAGTGTGGTTGGTTGGACAGTTGCACACAGCTAGAGTATGCTGCTAGGTGTGCTTGCCAAGGTGTGCAATTACGAAAGGGGCATTTCAAAAACATGTGAGGTAGTAGTATAAAATTCTGACCAGAGCGGTCACTGTCTCAGGGAATGGGGCATTGTGGGACAGCTGCTAGAGGACTGTTAGGATCCCCATAGGTCATGTGGTCTCTACACTCGAACTGTGTTGACCTCAGTAGGTTGACTATGACTCTACACTGTTCTGGGAGGTGGTTTTATTGTGTCACTATAATGGTGCGCTTGTGTCAGCTGGAGACAAATTTTCGTGTAAACACATGCTCACACAGGTTCATCCTAACTTTATAGTGTAGCCCAGACCCCAAGTTAGTAATGACAGTTTATCTACTGTGATATCAAGCATTCTCCAGGGGCTTTATCTGGCAGGAAGACATGAATGATTATATATTACAATTGATAACATGGGCATCCTCTAGTTAATTAAGAAACTCCTTCCTTTCAGCTTCAGTGCATCAGAGGTAGTCTCAATATTTATTTTTCTGTAAAACAAGATAATTTCTTGCAAGGTGTAAAACTTCAGTCTGGGAGTGAGAGACCCAAGGACCCCTTGATGCCAGCTGGCAGAAAGCATAGGGGGTGCATAAGGTTATATAGGGATCCCCTCAATTTGCAAACTGCATAATAGTTCACCAAAGGGTGACGTGAAGTTTCTGCCCAAAGCCAGTGCTCTACATGTTATAATCATTATGAAATATATGTATGCATAATATTTAAGGAGTTATGTATCTATATGTATGTATGTATCTATATGAAAAATTATGCTCTTAAGGTCTTGGAGTTAAGGCAGGTCACAGGAGGTGACATACCTCGAAAATGTTTTATAGGCAGATAACTGTCACCTCTCTCCCTGGGTGTCCATTTGTGTCTTGCATGCCTCATGCTACATGCCTATTCGCATATTAAGCCAGCTGCGAATTGAGAGATCGAATGCTGTATTTATCTTTAGAAAGCTCACATTGGTATCTTCTTTGCGTTTTGTGAAATCTGTGGTGAAAGTGTTCTTAAAATGAACAATATGTGCTGGGTCGTCGTCAGAGACTGCTATAATATGAAATATATGGCAGAATGTGGGTAAAACAGAGCAGGGGGCATACAATTTCCCCCCCCAGGAGTTCAGTCATGAATTTAATTAACGCATTATGTTTTTAATGAGCAACATCAGCATGGAAACATGTACTCTGGAATGGTGGCCGAAGCATGAAGGGGCATATGAATGTTTAGCATATCTGGCATGTAAATACCTTGCAGTGCTGGCTACAAAAGTGCCATGCAAATGTCTGTTCTCACTTTCTGGTGACATTGTAAATAAGAGGAGGGCAGCATTATCTCCTGTAAATGTAAATAAACTTGTTTGTCTTAGCAATTGGCTGAACAAGAAGTAGGACTGAGTGGACTTGTAGCCTCTGAAGTTTTACATTGTTTTGTTTTTGAGTGCAGTTATGTAACAAAAAAAAATCTACATTTGTAAGTTGCACTTTCAGGACAAAAAGATTGCACTACAGTACTTGTATGAGATGAATTGAAAACTACTATTTCTTCTGTTTATCATTTTTACAGTGCAAATATTTGTAATCGAAATATACACTTTGATTTCAGTTACAGCACAGAATACAAGATGTATATGAAAATGTAGAAACATTCAAAATATTTCAATTGATAGTCTCTTGTTTAACAGTGCGATTAAAACTGTGATCAATTGTGATTAATTTTTGAGTTAATCGCGTGAGTTAACTGAGATTAATCGACAGACCTAATAAATTTTACTCTAACAAAATCCTGAGCATGACACGGACAAAAAGAGTATTTTGCATACTTGCAAAAAGAGTATTTGCATTCCTGTACAAGACTTTTCCTTCTGATCAGCCTTTTGTAACCAGTGTCTTAACTGGCTGGTAATAGTCACAGAAAGTCGCAGGTCACATCTTATGCACCTGTGCTCATCCATAGATAACATGCTAATCAGTACCCTGTCCAGAGAAACAGACCCACTCATAACTGGACAGCTGCTGGAAAGGATTCATAGCCACAAGTTCTTCAAAAACGTTGAGCCCGACAATCTAGCCAGCTTTCTATCCACCTTACAGTCCATTCATCCAGCCCATACTTCTTTAACTTGGCGGCAAGAATACTGTGCTGTGGACAGCTCCCAGGCAAACTCCTGCTGTTAGCCTCTGCTGTTCGCCGCTCAGCTGGTTTGCTGCTGACTGCCCTTATATACCAGTCAGGCCCACTCAAGGCCCACCTGGAACAAAGCACTCCCAATTCACACTTTTCAAACAAACAAGCAAGCAATCAAGCACACGGTCAAACTGACCAACTGTCCCAGCAGCAGGCACTCAGATACTCACCAATACACGTTCATATCTTGAAGAGATTCTAGATGAAATACTTAGCTCATTGATTACTAAAAAGTATTACAATTATTTGCAATTTTAAAATGTCTTCAGCAATCCCAGGAATTTGTTATAGTAATTTTTAAAGATTAAAATAATGTAGTACTTTTAATATATGCTGAAGAAATTTGACTTTTTTTCCAAGGGTCTCCTGACAACTGGAGTAGAATTTGAATCTCTCCCTGCAGCTCTTTCTCTACCTGCTGAATCTGGCCTCTACCCAGTGACCCTTGTTGGTGTTCCTCAGAATACTGGGCAGATCACTATCAATGGTAAGGATTATATCTTTTACAGTTTTCATCAGGAAAATAGGCACAAGTATCTTATGGCATTGTGGACTTTTTGATGTAGTAGTTAAATTAATATTTATTTTATATTTCCACAAAGTCAGTATTTAAAAAGAACTTACAAAATAATCCTTCATCAAGAAGGTAGTTCTACATAGAATGAGACAATAACCCATGATTTTCAGAAATACATCACTTTTGTTTAGATGTGTGTGTTCATTGCTGTTACTAAATTAAAATGCTAAATCTGAGGGGAAGGGGGAAAGCTACGTAACTGAATAGTCTACTGCAAACTAAGTCAAATTGCTATTGAAAAAAATACTTTTAAAATGCTTCATGAGTATGCACAACAAGGTGAATCTTGCAGTTGACATTAATGGACGAGACAAGTTGGGTGAGGTAACAGGTTTTTATTGGACCACCTTCTGTTGATGAGAGAGACAAGCTTTTGAGCCACACAGTACTCTTCTTCTGGTCTGTGAAAGATACTCCAAGACCCTAAGGGTACATCTACACTACAGGGGGGAGTCGATTTAAGATACGCAAATTCAGCTACGTGAATAGCGTAGCTGAATTCGACGTATCACAGCCGACTTACCCCGTTGTGAGGACGGCGGCAAAATCGACTTCTGCGGCTTTTTGTCGGCGGTGCTTACTACCACATCCGCTGGTGGAGTTAGAGCGCCGATTCGGGGATCGATTGTCGCGTCCTGATGGGACGCGATAAATCGATCCCCGAGAGGTCGATTTCTACCCGCCGATTCAGGCGGGTAGTATAGACCAGACCTAAGAAGAGCTCTGTGTGTCTCGAAAGCTTGTCTTTCTCATCAACAGAAAACTGTCCAATAAAAAGTGTTACCTCACCCACCTTGTCTCTCTAATCTTCTTGAACCGACATGGCTACAACTGCACTGCATATTGTTAATGAAACACATTCATGTAAAATAACAAAAGATTTCGCAAGTTGCTTATATATGAAAGATTTAGGTAGCAATGTACAGAGTCTATTGTAATGCAGAGTTCATTTAATTAACTGAAATAGGGCTGTGTCAATAGTGATAAATGGGAATCAAATTAAAAAAGTAATACATGTCCCTAAGTTAGGTGGGATAAAGACTGACATACCAATGCTGAGTTCTAGAAAAAAGATGTTTCATGCAAAGTGAGAGATGTTTGACAAGAATGAACCAATACCAATACAGATTGTTCAGGACATTTAGAAATTCCTAGACAGAAATCTTTAGATTTTATACTGTCATGGAAGAACAACCATACTAGTAAATAACAGAATTAAAGAAAAAGTACTTACTCCGAAGAGGCTTTATCTTTTCACTTTGATTCCCTTTTCTATATACAGTATAATTTGTTATCCAAATTCACTTTATCTGAAAATCCTGGTTATCTGAATCCACAGGATGACCCTCATTAGCCTCATTAGTTAATAGCACTTCCATTTTTCCGAATGCTCAATTATCAGAAACTTTTGGATGTCTCCCAGACCACTGGGCAGTACTTTTCTCTCCCTTTTTTTTTCTTTCTGTTTATTATTTTCTTGTTCTCATCATTTTTTCTTTGCAAGATACTTCATCACTAAAAGGAGAAAACTGAACTGTTCAAAAGTGTTTCTGCCAAACTGTGGGATAAACCACTTAGTTATTTTATTACCAGAATATAGAAAATTAATTGCGGTTATGCGACCTACAGCTGTTGTTGGTCCTCTTTTATATACAGTATTCACACCAGAATATTTAATGAGGTGGTGGTAATCCCATGTGCCAAGATAAATTAACATACTTTTTGTCTATGACTGTTTATTTTTAGGGAACATTGCCAAACCTATTCTGCAAAATTTCTTGTAGTTTTGTTTTCTTATCCTGCAACTGTCTGTCTTGGCAAAAATTATTTTCCAGTAAAGGAAAACAGTAGTGAATTGTCCTTACGTTCTCATTTATCATTCATACATTTTTCCGACACCTTTTTGTTTAACACTAGAGTTTTCTTGCAAGTTTAGGTTGTATAGATTGTATAGATTGATTCCTCACCAAATAGTATTGAGGTAACTGCTGATAAAATTAAAGAAACAAGTTTCATTTCAGCAATTGCAGATCTTCAATAAAGCATAATTAAATATCAGTTAAGGGCATAAACATGAGGGGTTATTTTTTACGCTTTTTTCATTGGGAGAGTTAAAGGATTTTTTTCTTTTACTGTTGGATACTGTTGAGAACTGATCCTGCATTTCTTGTACACCCAAAACACCTACAGGTATTAACCCTGATTGTGCACCCAAAACGTTAGTTATGTGACAATGGTGTTAAAAATGCTGGTCTGTCTACACCCTGTACTCCTAGCATTGCTAGAATATAAGGTCCCTGAATATCAGTTCATGACTATATTTTTTTAAAAATGTGTGAAAATCATGGACTCTTACTTTCATAAGACAAAAGTACAGGGGTACATGCATAACATTTGTCTATACAATGTGATACATTATACTTATATAGAGTCTTTCTTAGAAGGATTTGAAAATGCTTTTCAAAGTTTCTCTATTACCACCCGTGTAAGATATTTTAATAGGAGAGGTTGTGATTTGCAAGTGAATTTCCTTACAGAATCTGGTCACTAGCAGGGTGTACAAAAATCAATGATTAAATACATAAAAATTTAAATTAAAACATTTTTAAGTTTTAAAAGCAAACCTATTTAAAATTTAAATTTGAAATTATGATAACCTAATTTGAGGCTTAATTCTATTAAAATCTATTAAAATCATTTAAAGCAAATTAAAAATATGCTCTATATGTTTGCTGCTGAAATTTAAAAGAGAGTCAAATGACTGAACTGATAGAGGTCACTGGATAAGGACCTGGAACCAGAGTTGTTTGAAGTACTTTTGATGGCAATAGCCTCTTCTGCAGGCGTAGAGAGACTGTTCTTCATTTCAGTTTGTTCAACTAGTTCAGTTCAATGACTAGTTACTTCAAAGTTAAGAAACCAATTGAGAGTTGAGAAAGCAGGGAAGTTAGTTTTCCTCTTTCAATCTATAAATAAAACCTAGATGTGAGAAGATGAGATATACTAGTTCTAAAATCTTGAAGGACATGGTGTGACCAGAAAGAATCTGTTCAATTTACTAACTTTGAAAAAATCAGTTAGTTTTAAATGCAAAACGTGTTTTGATATACACTTTTATCTTATGTACCTAGCACATTTTCAGGTAGATTTATTTAAAAAAATTAAAATGCTGTTTTTGTGCATTTTTAATAGAATTCTAATTTTCATTCAAATAGAGCTTGACATGAGTCACATCTAAAAAAATCAATCATTTAGTAAATAAGGAATGAATCATTCACCATTTTCTAACGTTAAAAAAAAAGGGGGGGGGGAGGGTCATTAGTCCAGTCCCCTGCATTCATGGCAGGACTAAGTATTATCTAGACCATTCCTGACAGGTGTTTGTCTAACCTCCTCTTAAATCTCCAATGATGGAGATTCCACAACCTCCCTAGGGAATTTATTCTAGTGCTTAACCACCCGGACAATTAGGAAAATTTTCCTAAATGTATGTTAATTTAAATACTTGCGTGAATAATATATTTAGATACAGTACATTCTCCTGGTTATACTAAAACTTGGCACTTTTTTAGCTAATGGTTGTATTTAGCGGTAACGTTTTAATGATAACCAACCAATAAGAATCAACCCTTGTTTAGGAAAATAATTAAAGCACAAATACAAAACAAGATTGAAATTAGTGATTTTAAATAAAGGTTTCCTGCTGGTTGATTTCAATCATCATTAAAATTGGTCATTTACATCACTTTGATTTAAATCAATCCACCCTGGTCACTAAACTTTTGTAGTTAATCCCATCATGAAACAAATAGTTTCAGGACAAATTGGCTCTTTTCTACCTTGAAATAGGTTATCATACTTCAGTCTTTGGAGTCTTCAGTGATTGTATTCTGGATAACCTGCCAGGATTAAAGACGAATGGCTGTGCAGTAGAAGTCATTCCAGCTTTGCCAAGGCTGCAGATCAGTACCTCTCTACCAAGGTAAGAAATTGAATTAGGTACAGATTTCATTTTTGATAAACTAGAAAATGTTGTATTGGTTATAATGCTGTTTCTGGCTATACAAATTTGCTTTTTATAATGTGGGTATGTAATCACTGTATTTACAATACAATATAGTCTAATTTAGTGAAGTAAGACATATACATTAAAATCAAAGTGGCTTGAAATTGGGGTTGTGCCCTTATTTGCTCTTTGTGTAATATAAAACTGAAAAAATAAATTCTGAAAATTTTTCTTTTTTTTTAAACCCTAGAAATATTAGGAATGTCAAGTTTGGTCTTCCTTGATTTTATTGGTTGACATAATGTGGCCTCAGAGAGTATATACTGAGAGATCTCATACTTGAATTGAAGAGGAGTAATGTTGAGTCTTTAACAAGTTTCTACTAAGTTTTCATTAGGCACTGGTATTAAATAGGTAACAATACAACATTTTGAGTTTGAACTTAAGAACATAAGAACAGCCGTACCAGGTCAGACCAAAGGTCCATCTAGCCCAGTATCCTGTCTACCGACAGTGGCCAATGCCAGGTGCCCCAGAGGGAGTGGGCCAACAGGCAATGATCAAGTGATCTCTCTCCTGCCATCCATCTCCATCCTCTGACAAACAGAGGCTAGGGACACCATTCCTTACCCATCCTGGCTAATAGCCATTAATGGACTTTAACCACCATGAATTTATCCGGTTCTCTTTTAAATGCTGTTATAGTCCTAGCCTTCACAACCTCCTCAGGTAAGGAGTTCCACAAGTTGACTGTATGCTGTGTGAAGAAGAACTTCCTTGCATTTGTTTTAAACCTGCTGCCTATTAATTTCATTTGGTGACCCCTAGTTCTTGTTTTATGGGAATAAGTAAATAACTTTTCCTTATCCACTTTCTCCACATCACTCATGATTTTCATAGAATCATAGAATCATAGAATATCAGGGTTGGAAGGGACCTCAGAAGGTCATCTAGTCCAACCCCCTGCTCAAAGCAGGCCCAATCCCCAGACAGATTTTTACCCCAGTTCCCTAAATGGCCCCCTCAAGGATTGAACTCACAACCCTGGGTTTAGCAGGCCAATGCTCAAACCACTGAGCTATCCCTCTATTATATCCCCCCTTAGTCTCCTCTTTTCCAAGCTGAAGAGTCCTAGCCTTTTTAATCTCTCCTCATATGGGACCCGTTCCAAACCCCTAATCATTTTAGTTGCCCTTTTCTGAACCTTTTCTAGTGCCAGTATATCTTTTTTGAGATGAGGAGACCACATCTGTATGCAGTATTCGAGATGTGGGCGTACCATTGATTTATATAAGGGCAATAATATATTTTCAGTCTTATTCTCTGTCCCCTTTTTAATGATCCCTAACATCCTGTTTGCTTTTTTGATCGCCTCTGCACACTGCGCGGACATCTTCAGAGAACTATCCACGATGACTCCAAGATCTTTTTCCTGCCCCTGCCCTGGTGCAAGTCACCTTCTTGTTCTCCCCAGATAAGATTGTTGCGGGTCTGTCATAACTTTAAAGGGAAGGGTAACAGCCCTCCTGTGTACCATACTATAAAATCCCTCCTGGCCAGAGACTCCAAAATCCTTTTACCTGTAAAGGGTTAAGAAGCTCAGGTAACCTGGCTGACACCTGACCCAAAGGACCAATAAGGGGACAAGATACTTTCAAATCTTGGTGGGGGAAAGGCTTTTGTTTGTGCTCTTTTTGGGGGTTGTTCGCTCTTGGGACTGAAAGGGACCAGAGATCAATCCAGGCTCTCCAAATCTTTCTGAACTAGTCTCTCATATTTCAAACTTGTAAGTAAACAGCCAGGCAAGGCATGTTAGTTTTTATCTTTGTTTTCTCAACTTGTAAATGTACCTTTTTGCTAGAATGTTTATCTCTGTTTGCTGTAACTTTGAACCTAAGGCTAGAGGGATTCCTCTGGGCTCTTTAAGTTTGATTACCCTGTAAAGTTAGTTTCCATCCTGATTTTACAGAGATGATTTTTAGCTTTTCCTTTAATTAAAAGCCTTCTTTTTAAGAACCTGATTGATTTTTCCTTGTTTTTAGATCCAAGGGGGTTGGATCTTGATCCACCAGGAGTTGGTGGGAGAAAGGTGGGGGGATGGTTAATTTCTCCTTGTTTTAAGATCCAAGGGGTTTGGATTTGTATTCACCAGGGAATTGGTGAAGTCTCTCAAGGCTACCCAGGGAAGGGAATTAGCACTTTGGGAGTGGTGGCAGTGGACCAGATCTAAGCTGGTAGTTAAGCTTAGAAGTTTCATGCAGGCCCCCACATCTGTACCCTAAAGTTCAGAGTGGGGAAGCAGCCTTGACAGGGTCCCAGCAGCCTACTTCCCCAGGATGATTTCAGGGCCCATCAGGACCTTCTAAAGTGGGTCACTTCAAACCTGGGCTTGAAGCTCAAAGAGACATCACCCAGCCTTCCTGTTATCCTGGCTGCAGCAGCTCTATCCAAAGTAGCCCTGCCCATCAATGAGGTGGTGATGGGACCTGTCAAGGCCCTATGGCAGATTCCTTCTTCTCTGGCCCCCACGTCAAAGAGGGCAGAGAAAAAGTATTATGTGCCAGCAAACGGGATTGACTATTTGTACTCGCACTCTCCCCGGACCCTCTGGGTGTCTGGCTAACAAAAGGGACAGGCAGAGAGAGTAGAGTGCTACCCCGAAACAGAAGGACTCTGAGAAACTGGACCTTTTCAGAAGAAAGTATTCTATAGGTAGCCTCCAGCTGCGTATCGCCAATCAGCAGGCTCTGCTAGGGACATATAATTTTAATCTATGGGACTCCCTGACAAAGTTCAGACTCCCTGATTCAAGAGGCAATGCAGGAGTTTCTGGTCCTCCTAGAAGAGGGTAAGAATATGGCTAAGACCTCTCTCCACGTGGCTTTGGATGCTGCCGACTTTGTGGCCTGGACAGTGGCCTCTATGGTCACCATGAGGTGCTGTTCCTGGCTCCAGTCCTCTGGCTTTCCCCAAGAGGTCCAACAATCAATCCAGGATCTCCCATTTGAAGGTTCCTCTTTTTTCTCGGAGCAGATGGGCATGAGACTTCACGGACTGAAGGACTCAAGGGCCACACTATGATCCCTAGACCTGTATGCGCCGTCTGCCTCTAGAAAACACTTCAGACCCCAGCAGCCTCCTTGGTTCTTGGGACCTCCAAGTCAGGAGCCCTACAAAAGAAAACACTGAGGTTATAAATGGCATAAACTATTCCTGTCTACCTCAGCCCAAGCAGGTCTTCTGAAGGTGTGCCCAAGAGCACTATACCAGTCGCCATTTCAGATCTGCCCCCCCTTTCATTTTTGGATTGTCTGTTGCTATTCAGCCTGGCTTGGGCATCTATAACATCTGGCCAATGGGTCCTGAGCATAGTGACAGTTGGATATACCCTTCAGTTTTTATCCATTCCTTCTTCCCACCTCGCATCCCTCTTCAGGGAACCTTCTCATGAGGAGCTCCTTGCCCAGAAGGAGCAATCCCTCCTTCGTATGGGAGCTTTGGAGGAAGTTGCTCAGTACTTGAGCGGGAAAGCGTTTTACTCCCGATATTTCCTAATCCCAAAGGCAAAAGGCGGGCTCTGGCCCATCCTGCACCTGTGCTGCCTCATCAGATGTCTCAAGAAACTGAGATTTAGCATGATCTCCCTGGCCTCCATCTTTCCCTCCCTGGGCCCAGGTGGCTGGTATGCTGCCCTTGACTTAGAGTGGTTCTCAACCTTTCCAGACTACTGTACCCCTTTTAGGAGTCTGATTTGTCTTGTGTAACCCCACATTTCACTTAACTTTAAAAACTACTTGCTTACAAAATCAGATCTAAAAATACAAGTGTCACAGCATACTATTACTGAAAATTTGCTTACTTTTTCATTTTTACCATATAATTCTAAAATAAATCAATTGGAATATAAATATTGTACTTACATTTTGGTGTACAGTATATAGAGCAGTATAAAGAAGTCATTTGTCGATATGAAATTTTCATTTGTACTGATTTTGCTAGTGCTTTTTACGTAGCCTGTTGTAAAATTAGGCAAATACCATCATAAGTTGATGCACCCCCCTGGAAGACCTCTGCGTACCCCCAGGGGTACAGTTACCCATGGTTGAGAAACACTGACTTAAAGGACGCATAATTTCACACCTCTATCTTTCATGGTCACAGAAGATTTCTCAGGTTTGTAGTGGGTCATTGCCACTACCAATTCACTGCTCTCCCCTTTGGTCTATCTGCAGCCCTGAGGGTTTATATGAAGTGTATGGTGGTTGTAGCAGCCTTCCTCGGGTGGTGGGGTGTTCAGGTTTACCCGTACCTCAACAACTGACCAAAGGTCAGTTGCAGGCTCAAGTGCAAGAGAGCTTCAGCACAGTCCGAACCACCTTCAGGGTGCTGATAAACAAGCAGAAGTCAATGCTTGTTTTGGTTTAGAAAATAGAATTTATTGGGGCTGTGCTCTACTTGACCCAAGACCTGGGCCTTCCTGCCGGAGGCCTGATTCCAGACCATGGCAAACCTGATTTCCAAGGTCATGGCCCACCCAGTCATGACAGCTTGAGTGTGCTTCAAGCTACTGGGTCACATGGCGGCTTTCACTTACATGATTCAATATGAGTCTCTAAGGTGCCACAAGTACTCCGGTTCTTCTTTTTGCATGATTCAATATGTAAGACTGCGCCTCAGGCCCCGTCACGTGTGGCTAGAGTCAGTTTAGTCCCCGAGCAGACATCACTTGGACTCAATACTTACCATTCCTCCCCCCATCTTCACTTCTCTGGCTGGTGGAAGGAGCCAAAGTCAGTAATGATGGGGGTGTCCTTTGTGTCCCCATAGCCATCAGTGTCTTTAGTCTCGGATATGTCCGACTTAGGGTGGGGAGCCCACCTCAACAGCCTTTGGACTCAAGACCTCTGGTCTCAAGAAGAACTCTTCCTGCACCTAAATGTCAGGGAGCTCAGGGCGGTGTGCCTGGCTTGCCAAGTGTTCCTTCCCCAAGTCTCAGGAAAGGTAGTTCAAGTCCTGACAGATAATACAGTGGCCATGTTTTATATCAACAAGCAAGGAGGGCACTGATCCTTTGCCTTGTATCAGGAGGTGGTTGCTCTATGGGACTTTTGTGCAAGACACTTCATTCATCTCGAGGCGTCTGACCTCCCAGGAGCCCGGAACATGTTGGCAGATCACCTCAGCAGGTCCTTCTCTCAGCATGAATGGTCCCTTCACCCAGAGGTCGTCAGTGTTACCTTTCAGAGGTGGGGGCCTCCCAAGGGGGACCTGTTCGTTACCAGGCAGAATAGGAAATACCATCAGTTCTGTTTGCTGCATGGGCACTGCATGGGCTCCCTCTCTGATGCCTTCCCGCTTTCGTGGGCAGATCACCTTCTGTATGCCTTTCCACCAATCCCCTTGGTTCACAAGTTCTCCTAAAAATCAAATTGGAGAAGGCAAGGTTTATTCTGATAGCACTGGTATGGCCATGCTAGCATTGGTTTGGTATGTTTCTGGATGTCTCAGTGGCAGCTCCACTCTTGCTCCCACTCTGCCCCGACTTGATTTCATAAGACGATGGCTGACTACTACACCCAAACCTTGCCTCCCTGCACCTACCTGCATGTCTGAATCCTGAAGAACAAGTCTGTTCTGAACAGGTTCAACTGGTCACGCTAGGTAGTAGAAAGCCTTCCACCAGTGCTACCTACTTGGCCAAATGGAAACCTTTAACTTGTTGGGCCGCTGAACAAGATATCTCTCCTAGAATTTCTCTTCAGTCTATCCTGGACTATTTTCTCCACCTAAAGCAGCAAGGTCTGGCACTCTCATCTATTAAGGTTCATTGGGTAGCCATCTCAGCCTCCAGTGAATGGCAGATCAGTGTTCTGTCATGAGATGGTCTGGTTTCTCAAGGTTTTGGAAAGACTCTATCCTCAGGTTCACAAACTGACCCCCCCCCCCATGTGATTTAAACCTGGTCTTGTCAAGGCTTATGGGGCCCCTCTTTGAGCCTTTAGCATCATGCTCCTTACTACTTCTCTCCTAGAAGGTTGCCTTCCAGGTGGCAATCACCTCCGCCAGAAGGGTCTCTGAGATCAGGGCCATTAAATAAGAGCCACCTTACATGGAGTTCTTCGAGGACAGGTTCCAACTGTGCCCCCATCCTGCCTTCTTGCCAAAGTTTGTGGAATTGTGACACCACAACCAGGTCATTTTTCTACCTGTCTTATTGCCAAAACCTCACAAAAGCTCTGAGGAATGACGGCTTCATACGTTGGATGTTAGGTGGGCTCTCATCTTTTATATTGAGAAGACTAATCCACAGATCCATTCAACTCTTGTAGCAGTAGTGGAAAGGATGAGAAGGCTACCTGTGTCAACCCAAAGACTTTCATCCTGGAGTTGAGGGCTCTAGGGTGGAGCTGGGGATGAGGGGTTCAGGGTGCAGGAGGGGCCTCTGGGGAAAGGGTCCCTGTCTCCCTCTGCACAGAGTTCCGGGGGAAGGGTCCCTCTCTCCTGGCCAGCAGCAGCGAGCTCCGGAGCTGGGAGAGAGGCCCGCAGCAGCCCTGCAAGCCAACTTGCTCCCCTCCCCAGTTCTTGCCCACCACCTACCTCTCTCCTGTCCAGGTCCCTGCTGTGCGGCCCTTTAGAGCTGCTGTGCAGCAACGATTGTTATAATTTGAATCAGCAAGGTGACCCAGTGCCTGACATTCCGTGACCCAGTACTTTGAAGAACACTGTTCTAGGGAGCATTCACCCTGGTATCTATCCCGAGTCTTTCTCCGTTGAAATATTTTTAAAACTTTATTTTTGTGTTCCACGCCAGTCTTAGTTGACATTCAGTAACAAAAGTACTAGATAAACCTCATTAGAAAAATTAGATAACATCCAACCTTTAAAACTCAGTTATTTAGATTGCTAGCTTGCTTTTCCCCACCCTTGTACAGTTCAGTTTTGTTATATAAGCGGCAATTTGTTTAACAAACTCCCACAGCTAGAAGTGAATGCTTTTATACCCTTTCAAAACTGTGATTATGAGCTTATTAGTTTTTGCTCCTAATAGTTCCTGAATATAGTAGCCACTGAAAATTAAGCTGGAATTGAAGAGCTGGAAAAGGAGTATAAGATGAAGCTAGCTGCAATTATTGGATATTTTTTTTTTGAGGGTCAATATTTTGTGAACCATCAAGGACAGGTTGACTGGATTCCCGGATTTCTGTTACGTTTTCTATTGTGGTTAGGTTCTTAAGATGTGATTAATGTTTAACATAGTATTTAATTTGCATATCTATCTTTGTTTATAGGTCTGCTCACACATTGCAGCCTTCCTCAGGGGATGAAATTTCCACCAGTGTATCTGTCCAGCTTTACAATGGAGAAACGCAGCAACTTGTCATTAAATTAGAAAATATTGGAACAGAACCTCTGGAGAAACTAGAGGTCACAGCAAAAACAGTCAACTCAAAAGGTACGTATGCTGGTGTATGATTAGAAAAATCCCTCACTTCAAGAGAAGCATGTACGAAGTGGTTGTGACAGACTGTCTTAGTGGAGTGATGTTTCAGAATTCAAGTAGCCCTCTCCCCTAATAAAGATTCAGGGGATTCATTTAGTTGGACATCAGTGTCCTCTTTGGGAATCAGATCCAGTAAACCTAAATATGTTCTTTATTTTCAAAAAGCATGTGGAAGTAGATTTGAAGTTAATGTCACTTTGACAGCTTTTATTTTAAATCAGTGAATCTTAACTTTAAAGTAGACAGAAGCAGAAACCTCATCTCTAAAATAATAATTTCTTATTATAATATATAATAGGAGCCAGTGATTGACTAGCAATAGATACTACATTGACTATGAAGAAATCAGATAAATGAGATGGTATTTTGTAGAGAAACAGAATATGCATAAGCAAGGTGGTTTATTAAAAAATCTTGTTTTAACCCTAAAATTTCCTTACTTGAAAGAATTACGAGAAGGGAAAAAATGCCCAGCTGCCATCCAGTCATAGTTTCTGCAACAGGAAAAAATGTGGAAAAGAATAATTGATAGTTTATTTTGTTCATTCCCATATTCTATCTTGTGAATTAAAAGGATAGTTGAAAATGAAGAAAGAATAGGATGCAGGCATAAATTTTCCTGTCTCCATGTATTTTTTTCTAAGATTCTGTGCTCTAACACATCTGTGAGGGCATCATTATGAAGATTATATTAACAGAATAAATATAGAATCAGATGAAAGTAAGTTAGTGTTTTCTTACTATGGAAATAACATACACAACTATCGTTTTTGTTCTTTAATTGCATAGTGAGAAAATAAAATTTGATACCTGATGATTTTTCTTTACTGAGTGTCCAAGATTGCCATTCCGCCATTGGGATTGTCTCTTCTCTGCAGCTTCAGAAAACAGGACCTGCTGATCATCTGTGAGGGGCTCTCTGCCTATACTGAGAGTCTCCAGGGAAATTGCATAGATTGCATTACAAAGCTGAAAAATAGCTCGAGTCATTACTATCATTGGTACCATAAAAATATGCACAGGCCCCAATCTGAGATTGAGATGCCACATTGTTATGCAATGTATACACACATAATAAAAAAATTAACTCTACCCAAAGAACTTACAATCTTGGTAGTGCAGGAGTTGTGATAGGCACATAATAGTAGCTTAATACTATCCCTGTGTCTTATCAATTTGTGTAACATAACAGATTAATGTCTTTGAATTTGGAAACGTGAGCTTAGAGACTAAGGCAAGAAAAATCATCAGATGTCAATTTTATTTTCTTACATGTCCAGGCTTGCCATTCCTACAGTAGAATATTTATAGCGTACTAAGCATAAGCCTTTAAACCATAAGGAAGAGCTTCTGATACTCATTATTTCCACAGTGTGTAATATTCCAAGAACTTAATGGGGTGCCACAGTGTACAGTATTCCCTGCCAGAGGAGGCATCTATTTGGGCTTGGACATCTAAATAATGGTGACAGACTTAGCCTTGTCTACACTACAGAGTTAAGTTGACTTAAGTTATGTTGACAAGTCACTTTAATAACATTGGTTGTGCATGTCCGCTCAGTGCTCCTTGTGTCAGCGGAGCACGTTCATAGTTGTTGCTCTTGCATTGACAGAGATCCATTGCATTGTGGGTAGCTATCCCACTGTGCAACTCGCCACCCTTTGTCACCAGGAGCTCTGGGAACGGATCGCGGTGCATCATGGGGACGTGTGTGCCATCCCGTGATGCAATTTTTTCCATCCCATCATTCCATTGGCTTCCTACTTTCTGTGCCATTTTTCAACTGCTCTTGTAAAGTGTGCACCTGCCATGTCTGCCTGACAGCATGGATCCTGAGTTGCTGACCAGTCTGGTGATGTGCGTTAGGAACACAATGTGACTGGTCCTGCAGTATATCATAAGTTGTGAAACAGAGTGAATCAATGATTCCTGCCCTGCTGTCTGCCATGGAAACAAATAATTCAGGATTGCTGCTGGGATCTCATGGAGCAGCTTGCCACGATGGACCGTCGGTACTGGGTTAGGGAAACAAGAACTGAGTGGTGGGATTGCATTGTGATGCATGTATGGGATTACGAGTAGTGGCTGCAAAACGTTCGTATGCGCAAATCCACCTTCATGGAACTGTGTGTGGAGCTTGTCCCAGCACTGCACCTCAAGGACATCAGAATCAGAGCAGCACTCAGTGGAAAAGCGACTGGCTATCACTGTTGGAAGCTGGCAACTCCAGACTGCTACAGTCAGTCGCAAATCAATTTGGGGTTGGAAGGTCCTTCATGGTGGTTGCAGTGATGCAAATGTGCAGGGCCATTAATTGCCTCCTGCTATGAAGGACTGATGCTCTCAGTAAGGTACAGGAAATAATTGAGGCAGTGGGATTCCCTAACTGTGGTGAGGTGATAGATGGAACGCATATCCCAATTTTAGCCCCTGACCATCTTGTAATGGAGTACATCAACCAAAAGGCCTACTTCTCCATGGTCTTGCAGGCGCTGGAGGATTACTGGTGCTGTTTTCCTGACATCAATGCAGGGTGTTCAGGGAAGGTGCATGATGCAGGCGTCTTTCGGAAGACTGGACTGTATAGAAAGCTGCATGCTGGGACTTTCTTTCCAGACCAGAAGATTCCCATCGGGGATGTGAAAATTCCCATAGTGATCCTGGGAGACCCCACCTACCCCTTGCTCCTGTGGCTCATGAAGCCTTACGCCGGGACCTAGACAGCAGCAAGGTGCGCTTCAACAGCAGACTCAGCAAGTGTCAAATGACTGTTGAATGTGCCTTTGGTTGATTAAAAGGTCGCTGGCACTGTCTTTTTGGCAGGTTAGACCTCAGTGAGGAAAATATTCCGATGGTCATAGCAGCCTGCTGTACTCTACATAATATTTCCGAAGTGAAGGGGGGGAAAGTTTTCCCAGGGGTGGACCACTGAGGCTGATGGGCTGGCTGCTGATTTTGGGCAGCCAGATACAAGGGCAATTAGAGGGACACAGTGGGAGGCTATTAGAATCAGGGAGGCTTTGAAGGAGCATTTTGACAATGATTCCCAGTAATGTGTCTTTGTGATGCATTTGGCCAGGCAATGATTTTTTTGCCACCTTGAATTACCCTTGTAGTGCTTGTTTCCTGAGCTTTAATTGTAGTGAGCAAATATACCTACCTATAGCCAATGTGTTTCAAAGGCCTGGTCTACACTACAGTATTAGGTTGACATAAGATGCCTTGTGTTGAGCTAGCTGTGGAAGTATTGTCACTTAAATTTGGCTCCCAATGACATAAGTGCCTCTCTATGCCAATTTAGTAAGAACACCTCCTCAAGTGGCATAGAGTCATGGTCAATGTAATTAGGCAGGTGCAGTGTCAGTGTAGACACTGCATTGCTTATGTCAACCGTTACTGGCTTTCAGGAGCCATCCCACAATGCCTCTCACTGACAATACAGTTGATACAAGCGCTTGTGGTGAGGACACGCACCACCAGCATAAGGAGCCAAGCTCGCGCAAACACAAGCGATTTAATAACTGCGATGGCTGTATGCTAGCATAAGTTAGGTTGAAATAATTTTGTAGTGTAAACATTGCCTCAGGATAGTTAAGTATTGGAATACATTACCAAGGGTGGTTGTCGAATCTTCATCAATGGATGTTTTTCATAACAGATTAAAGACCCGTCAGAGATGGTCTAGGTATAAATGATTGTCTGAATGTGGGCACTTGGACTAGATCTCTTGAGATCCCTTCCAGCATTGCATTTCTCTGATTTCTGTCTTGTAACAGGCAATTTTAAAATTGCAATAACATCCTCCAGTGAAATCCATAGCTTAGGGTGCATCACAGCAGCACACCCTTGTTTTCTGGTTAGGTCCTCCCTGATGTTCAGCACTGAGATTAACTTCTTTTTTAAATCTTTTAATAGAGGAAAATCCATACATAATATCAAATGTCACTTAAAAGCTTGAGAATGGCTATGCTGCTGGCGTGCTTAGACCAATGCCTATCATGCTGACCAATATTATTGTCCTGTTCCCTTGTAGTCCCATCTGTCTGTCTCCCCTTGTTCTCGTTTTATACTTAGTCCCTACCCCAAAGACCTTACAATCTATCTTTTTGTTTTGTGTTTGTACAGTGCCTAGCACCTTGGAGCTTCTACCTCTTCTCTTGGCCTGTGCCAGGGGAAGTAGAAGGTATTCAAAAGTGAGCTGAGTCTTAGGGCTGGGTCTAAGGCAGGTCCACCCTGGGTTACTGATTATATGTCGAGAGCCCTGTAATCCTGCACTGGTCCCAGTTAAATACCTGATATGTGAAAACAAAAACAAGGAGGAGTCCGGTGGCACCTTATAGACTAACAAATTTATTTGGGCATAAGCTTTTGTGGGTAAAGAAGTGGGTTTTTTGCCTACGAAAGCTTATGCCTAAATAAATCTGTTAGTCTGTAAGGTGCCACCGGACTCCTCGTTGTTTTGTGGATACAGACTAACACGGCTACCCCTCTGTTATTTGATATGTGACAGTGGGAGGAGGGTATATATTGTGCCCTGCTACTTAAGTCCATCCCATGTGGTGTTTATTCACCTGCATATCCTGTCAGCACTTCTGTGGGCACATCTACACTTAAAATGCGTCATAAACGCTGCTGTAGTGTTTAATGATGACTCTCTAACTCAGTGGGCGAGATTTCTCCTATTGTCTTAGCTACTGCCTCCCAGGGAAGTGGATTAACTATGTTGGTGGGAGAAGCACTCAGTGGCAGCTCCACTAGTGCTTCCACCCAATCTGGACTTGATTTCACAAGACCACAATCAGTTGCTTCACCTGAACTGAACCTCCCTGCACTTGACAGCATAGTTGCTGCATGACTGAACTCTGAAGAGCAGGCCTGCTCAGAACAGGCTCGGCAAGTCTTGCTAGGTAGGAGAGAGCCTTCCACCAGGAAAGCCTTCGCTAGTTAGGCC